CCCTGCTCCAGAGGTGCCCTTGGGTGTCTCTGTCTGCTCCTTCCTGCCCCAGCATTGGTGCCACACTCAGGAGTCAGACTGTGGGCCACAGGACCCATGCCATGCCCTGGGTGCCTCCCTCTTCCCCTGTAAAGGAGGGGACAATGAGGGCAGAGGACTAAGCCCAGGAGGGGCCCGTAGAGTCACTAACAGGGTGTGCTTCTTGGAGTGGAGGCAACCGCCAACTTAGCTGTCCTCAGAAACCAAGCAGAGAGACCATTCTGGGGAAAGAAGCCAACCCAGCTACCCAGGCCACTGACTGAACCCCCAACATAGGCTCAGGCTAGGCCTGGAGATGCCTTCTCTCCGTGAGCAGCAAGTTCAAAGCCAGGCTCAGCCAAACCCCTAAGCATTCCTTACCTTCTCTGGGGCACCATGAAATTTTGCATGAAGCCCTTCATCTAAAAAGGATTTTGTTCATGTCTGCTATGTGGGCATTGACTGGATTGGTAAGAGTGGGGGTTTTAGAGGGTTCGTTATCTAAAGACCTACTAGGGGCTGAAGCCTTGAGGAGGAGGTAGGGGGCCTGGAATCTGTGTGCAGTGGCTGAAGCCACCCTCCTGACCCCAACCTGGGCCTACACTGGACCCCAGGCCTCAGGAGCCAAACCATCTTTGCAGACACTTAGATTCTGTTACCTGACTATTTTGGGCAGCCCTGAGCTAGACTTGATTATGGCAAACTGAAATAGTTCCTTCCTCGATGTGGCTGGCTCTCCCCTCCAAATGAGCCTTTTGGAGACCCTTGGGGTTCTGTGGTGAGCACAACCCCCCATCCTACTCTCCAGTTCTCCTGGCAGAAAAGGAAGAGCAGCCCAGGGAGCCTCCGTGCAGAGTGTGAGGTCCATGGGCCCTTGTGGACTGAGTGCCACGGGCAGCACCATGCCTCCCTCCAGGTATGGGCCCCGCCCCTTCCCTGTCCCCAGCTCCTTCCCCTTGGAGAAAGGCACAACAGGAATGGCCGGGTGAGGACACTGTGGGACTGTGCCCAGGGAATGACAATTCTGGGCCTCTCCCTACTCCCTGTGAGTGTCAGCCTGGGTGTGGGCCCTGGGAGGCCCCTGTCTTTCCCTAGTCCAAAGGCCACTAACAGCCCAGCTGCTGGGAGTATGTGGAGGGGGGTTCTTCTGCCAGGAGGTGCAGAACAAAGGAGGGCGGGTGGGAGAGAAGGAAGAGGCTGAGCTTAGTGCATATCCTGGCGCCTGAGTGCATCTCTGTCTGGGCAGGACTAGGCCACTGGGGCTGCCCTCAGCTTCCCCTACCGCGCAGCCTGCACCCTGGACAAGGCTCTGCAGAATAGCCTGTCTTCTTCGGCCCCTCCTGCTCCTGAGAGGCAAGTTTCCTATAGGACTTGAGTGAAATAGCACCAGGTTGGCAGGCTCCAGAGGCAAGTCCCTATCAAGCTACTCCTGGCCAAGTCTCCCCTCAGGGCATTTGCCTTTATCAGGGGTGGGTGCTGTCAAACTTGCCAGTGGTGGAATTTCTGACCCAGAGTGGTGGGTGAGGGAGATGATTTGGGTCAGGGGCCCTTTGCAAGCCATCCAAATTGTCTCAGGTTGGCAGTGCTCCACTGCAGCGCTGGTCACCAGAGGGGCCGCGTGAGCTCAATGGGGCCCCAAGTGGTGGGAGCAGGGAGACAGGGAGCTCCTGGGGCATACAGTGTGGCCAAAGCAAGGGGGACCATCCAGCACTCAGAGCTGTTGGTGTGGGATGGTTCTGCCTTGGCGGTGATGAGTGCCTATCATGGGGACATCCAGGCGCAGTGAGAAGGCTGGGCAGGGATGGTGTGGACAAGGGGATTGTGGGAGCAAGGGTCTGGAGGTGGGAACATGCCAGGCAGGGGTAAGGACTAGTGAGCCACCCAGGGAAAATGTATACAAAGGTTGTGAACAATTAGGTGGAGAGCTCTGGCCCTGAGCTCCATGCCTCCCCAAGCGTTAACCGTTAGGGGTTGAATTGTGTCCCTGCAAAAAGATATATGGAAGTGCTAATACCCCTCATTTGAATGTGACCTTATTTGGACATAGGGTATTTGCAGATTTAATTGAGTTAAGATGAGGCCATTGGGGTGGCCCTAATCCAGTTTGACTGAATTCTTGTAAGAAGAGGGGCACTTGGACACAGACACAGGTGCACATGAAGAACCCCGCATGAAGACACAGAGACAACAGACACAGAAGGAAGGTGGCCACGTGAAGATGGAGGCAGAGATTGGAGTTATGCTTCCACAGCCAAGGAATGCCCAGAGTCACCAGAAGCTGGAAGAGGCAAGAAAGGCTTCTCCCCTCGAGGCTTTGGAGGGAACATGGCCAACACCTTGATTTTGAACTTCCAGCCTCCAGAACTGCGAGAGAACACATTTCTGTTGTTTTTAAGACACCCAGTTTGCGGTACATACTTTGTTATGGCAGCCGCAGGAGACTGCCACACCAGGCTGGCTCTGCTGCCTGGAACACCCTTCCGCCTGGTTCCTTCCAGCGAGCCCTCTCACCAGCTCCAGTCCCATCACCTGCTCCATGAGCCGGAGTTGAGGGCGATTTCTCTGTGTAACCTCACGCTGAGCCCTTGTCCAGTAGATCTGTAAGGTTTGCTGGCCAGCCTACATCCCTGCCTAGACTGTAAGCTCCTCAGGGCAGGGTCTGGCCTGCAGTAGGGCAGCATAGACCTGGTCCACAGTGGGTGCTCAGTCAATGTGAGGTGGTAAATGGAGGAGTAGTCGAGAGTGCCAAGGCCCTCAGACTGGGATGAGCCATCTACTCCTCCACAGCCTGGCCTATCTGGGGTGGGCACAGAGCCAACCAGAGAGGTAACAGCACCATCCACACAGGCCACTTCCCAGCTCCTCCACTTTCCAGTCCCCTCCTGCCCTTATGTGAGTCTGAATGACTTGGGGAAATTCCTAACCTCCCCTTTCAATTGGGCCATTGGCCCTGTGAGTTTGCCACAACATAATTGCTCAGGTCCCTCCAACAAGGGGACTGTGTCTGTGGCTCGATGACTCATGCACACTGCTCCATCCCACAGCCTTGGGTGGGACCCAGGGCTGGGGTTAGTGCCAGCCAGAGCAGACTAGGAGCTTGGACATCCCGTTGCCCCAAGCCAGTCCCCAGGAACAGAGCGTACCCAAGGCTTTAGGACAAAAATCTGGAAGCAGGGAGGCACCTCTCACTTGAAGTGAGATCTGAGTGATAAAAAGGAAGAGACTGAGGAAACAGTGAGCTCAAAGGCCCTGAGGTAGGAATGAGCTTGGTATGATCAAGAACTGGAAAGAAGGCAGGGGAGACTGGAACATGGTGAAAAAGGGGTCAGTGGGGCCCTAGCCAGTTTTGCTCAGTGGACAGAGTGTCCTGGGTTCGATTCCGGTCAAGGGCACGTACCTCGGTTGCAGGCTGGCCCTGGTCGGGGTGTGTGCAGGAGGCAACCAATGGATGTGTCTCTCTTACATCGATATTTCTCTCTGTTTGTCTCTCTCCCTTCCTTTCACTCTAAAAATCAAGGGAAACATAACCTCAGGTGGGAATTAACAAAAAACAAAAAAAGAGGTCAGTGGTAGGACCTGAGATTAGATTGAGTCCACCTGGATAACTAGGATAATCTCTCCATCTCAACATCCTTAAATTAACCCTCTCTGCAAAGCCTCTGTTGCTATATGTAAGTATAACATAGTCCAGGTTCTGGGGAGCACAACATAGATATCCTAGGGGGACATTATTCTGTCTACCACAGTGTCTCTCTCATCCTTACCTTTCTCTCTCACGCTATTGCTACAATTCTGTTTTCCTATCTATCTACCTATATGATCTATTGACCTGTCATCTGGCCACAATTTATCTCTCTTCCTACCTCTTCATCAAGTCTCAACAAGTTATTTATCAATCTATTTCTCCTCCATGGATTTAATCTTTCAGTTTGAAAATTGAATCCCCCCTCAGCCCTCTAGCTAATAAACTGACTTTTAAATTCAATCTCAATCCTGGCCGGTGTTGCTCAGTTGTTAGAGCATTGTCCTGTGCACTGAAATGTTTTGGGTTCCAATCCCAGTCAGGGCACGTACCCAGGTTGTGGATTTAATCCCAAATTGGGGCACATGCATGAGGCCAACTGGTCGATGTTTCTCTCTCTTTCCCTCTCTTTTCCTCTTTCTCTAGAACAAATGAAAAACATATCCTCAGGTGAGGATTTAAGAAAAGATACTTCAGTCTATCATTATGAATTATCAAGCTTCATATTTTCACATGTGTCATATATGTGAACATTCTTTCTTAATGTCTCCAAATAAATTAAGTAAATATTGAGTGCTTGCCATGTGTCCAATTCTATGTCATGTGGGTGAGATAAAAGGCTGATGACACCCCCAGTAGCCATATTGGGTCCTTTTTCATCATCATCATCATCATCATCATCATCACCATCAATGCCATCTCTGCCAATCCATGCATACTTCCAATTTGTTATCCATATATGGACCATTTTTATATGGACTTTCCAGCCACATCTGGGCTGTTCTAGTCTGCCTTTTGCTTACTAGCCATCCTGTGTATGCCTAAATAATGCAGGCTCATTTTAACTCAATCTTAGATAAAGTGTGGGTACAAAAGTATATCTGCTAGGCAAGCATCTTCTACATCAAGTAACAAATCCTAAAGTTAAATGGAAATTATTTTTAGGTTGACTGGGCAGGTAGCACAGAAGATGGGGCCTCCAGAGATGTGACATCTGGCATGAGTGGATACATGTAGACACACAGCACACACACACACACACACACACACACACACACACACACACGTAGGTACACACAAATGCACATGTGCACACACAAGCGTATTTGTGCCCTCTCTTTTCCCTCTTCCCCCACATAGTGGCTCCTTCCTGGCTCCCTCATTTCCTCCCCACTCCCACCCCTAGGGCCAAAGCAGACACTTCAGCACTGACTCATGATCTCCCTCATCTTGTTTCCAGTCTAGGAATCTCACCTCCTCACCTTGGCTGTGAGGTCTTCTGAGGCAAGAATGATGCCTGTTCTTTCTTGGGCATGTCCTCCCAGCCTGGCCAGCCAGAAGCCTGGACACCTAAGAGCTGCTGGCCTTTCCTTGAACTCTGAGGGCTTCTGTGGAACAGAGAGGTAAGAGGTTAGATGCCCAATAATAGAGGCTCTCCAGAGAAGTCCCCACTGCCCAACACAGTTCGCTCTGCCCCCCAAGGAATCTGCCTCTCTTGACCCAGCTGGTTGCCAGGGTAATGAGGGTTTTCTCCTTTGGTAGAACTCTCTTAGAGGAACTGCACTAAGTGGGTAATCTGCTTGGAGCTGGCCTAGTGGGGATCAGCTCAACAAGAATGTCCTTGTTTCCAAGCATCTCCATTGCACAAGCATCCAGTGCCAATTCCTGTCCAAGCCTCTCCTTGGGGCTGGCTAGAAACCCAGCACATTTGGAAGCAGCTTGCCACCAGCCAGAGCTGCAGGTCCTGGATGTCCAGCAGTTACATACCCAAGGCCAGCCCAGGCTCACAAGTCACTTTGTCCACAGCCCTAAGGGAGGAACAGCTTACTCCCCAGTGTCTGCAAGAGGCTCCCAAGCAACCACCTTGCACCCTGGAGCCCTTCCCAGTGGTGGGAGGCTGGACAAGGCCAGGACACCATTAAGGAATCCCTGACTGGGGTGAGGAATCGCGGGGCCAGCTGGCCTTGCTGCTTCTGGTTCCACACTGAGCCTGGATCTTATCCACTTACTATCTAAATCCAATGTATGCCCCTCTCCTGTCCTGTGGTATCCCAGGGCAGAGGCCTCATATAACACATCTCTGTAGCCTGAAGCTAGCTCAGAACAACCATAGGAATTGTATGCAGAACAGATCTGCACCTATGCACAGCTCACACCGACATCCCTAGGCCCAGAGCCCAAGCCCAGGCCTATAGCAGTCTCCACCTCTCTCCCCCAGCTCAGAACCCTCACTTAGTAAGTTTCATTAACTGTTTAGAGCCCATCAGGTAATAAATTATCCCCTTATTTGCTCCCTAAAGGAGCCAGGCTGGGCCAGATATCCTCAAACTGAAGTGTTGGGAAGAAATGGTACTCCCCTGTCAGAGGAGGGAGCCCCCACAGGAGGCCATGCTACTCAGAAACTTCTCTCTTCCCACATGGTTCCCAGTCCCTGCCTGGCCCAAGCCTAAGTCCCAGCAGACCACAGGCCAAGTGGGGCTTTTCCATGCCTTGCTGGATCTCAGCCTCCATGAGAAGGCTCTGGAAGGACTAAGAATCTCAGGCTGGGCCAGCTAGATAAGCCCAGAGGGACATTGCCACTGGGGCCCAAAGAGGGCCAAACAGGCGCCAGGCCACCCAGTCAGCACTGAGCTGAGCCAGAGGGCAGCCTTCTTGCCCCCGCCCTCCAGGATGGCACTCTAGCCCATCTTTGGGCTCAGGGAGCAGTCCCTCCACCCCAACAATGCTTCTATTCCAGGAGAAGTCTAAGCACCCGTGGGGCAACCAGCACTGCCCAAATGCAAAGGGCTTCTTGGGGCTCCTCCAACAACCACAGTCAGCTCGTCCCCTCCATCTCTATAGCCCCCACTCCAGCCCCTCACCCCTTCCCAACCTCACTCCCCGACCTCCAACACAGGCAACCAACCAGTCATCAGTCTGATGGCTATCATTCCAAACACTTTGTTTTTTCTATGAAATTACATATCTCTGTGTGTCTGTGTTGAGATAAAAATGTAGACTTTTGTAGGTATTTTTAAAATGTGAATGGGATTATACTGTGCATATAGCCAGAAACTTGCTTTATTATCAGGTGTACAATAAAATGATTCAATATTTGTGTATTCTGAAATGTGCTTTTTCACTTCACACTTTTATTAGGGCTCTTTGTACATCAGACACACAAAACAACACAACAATTCTTCTTTTTCTCTTCTTTTTACACGGGTTTATTTACCCCATTTTCTAGTGATGGACATTCAAGCTGTTTCCAGTTTTTCACTGTTACAGTGATGTACTAACATTCTTAAACCTTCTCGTGCCCTATCAGAGGGTCTCTCTACATAGATTCCTGGAAATAGACTGCACGCTCTCATCTCCCCCTTCAACTTGGGGAACTTCAGGGCTCACTTTCACCCACGGGCAGCGTACTAGTATCTATTCTTGTACAAAGGGCAGTTCCCTCTTCAGGAAACACCGAGGACCAGCTCTTAGCACTGTGTTCTATACCCCACTGCACTGCTATGGACCTCGCAGACATCACCGTCTCCCTGGAACATCCTCACCCTCCATCTCACCTGAACTGCGTCTATATGCAGGTCCATCGATGGCCTTCTCAAGAAACGCCCTAACTGTACCACCACAGCTCCCAAGATGGCTTGTTTTACCTTGACTACCTTCATATGCTTATGGAATTATCTTCCTAAATGGGCCTAAGTTCCTTGAAGACAAATCTGCCCTAAGATAGAGCCTTGTTTCTGTAGGTGCTTGTTAAATGTGTGCTATTCTATACATAAAAGCCTAATATGCAAATTGTCCCCTTGGGCTGTCGTTCGACCAGGAGTTTGACCGGGAGAATGGGGAGTTTGACCACTTGCTGTGACGTGTGCTGACCACCAGGGGCGGCACGGAACATGGCGAGTGTCAGCGACAGTGGAGGTGCTGTGGGCCCCGATAGGCCCTGATGAGAACGAGACCACAGCGGGATGGTGGAGCAGGTGAGCGGGTGGGTGGCGCCAGGCCAAGGCAGGTGTGAGCGGGGCCTGATCGCCCCCCCCCCCCCCCCCCCCCCCCGCAGACAGTGACCAATGGCAGCGGCAGGGGGTGGGACCACCACCCGGTATGGTGGAGCAGGTGAGGGGGCGGTGCCAGGCCAAGGCAGGGTGCCAGGCGGGGCTGCGAGGCACATATTCATGCACTGGGCCTCTAGTTTTTAATAAAACCAAGTTACCCTCAGTAAATGCATGGGAGCGGTCTCTGTAAGGTTGCTAGATTGGGGGGTGGGGTAGGGGGGAGGATTTGCTTTGGTTTATCAGAAACCCTGGGAAAGGGTGAAAGGCTTTTGCTTGAACTGCTCAACTTGACTTGGAGCCAGTGCCTTTGGTTCTTGGTGGTTATCGGATTAGGCCAGGTCCCTCAGCTCCGAGTGGGATGTCTCACACTTAGATTCTGGTCAAGGCTCTGACTTGGCTGGAGTTACTGTCTGCCGCCAGTTTCCGGGGAGGCATTTGGAGGCCCCAGGGATCTACATTGCCTTCTGCCATCTGTGGCCACTGGGCTGGGTCTGAGAGTCTGAGGAGAGACAGGTGGCCTGGCTGGCACATCATCCAGACATCTCCTGGTGCTGGTCCGTACCGTCCTAAACCAGTTGGCAAAGACTGCAGAGGGGTGCCTCTCCCAGGCATGCATTTACAGTGCACCACCGAAAGAGCCAAGGCTGGGTCTTGCCAGGGCAGTGTCTTCAGCCACAGATACTGCCTGGGCAGCTTTTCTTTCTATCCCAAACCCCTGCTGCAGCCCCTGCCTGGAGCCTAGGAGGCGGAAGCTGCTGGATTAGTACTCTATTGAATGCCAAAGTATGTGCTTTGCACAGAGCTTGCCATAGATAGGCAGCCAGCAAAAATTTACCAAATGACCAACAGAATGAATGTCTCTCTCCCTTAGAGGAGGCCACCTAATGCCATTGACCATATGTGAGAGGATAAGGACTGGATTCCAGAAACAGAGGAGACAGAAGAAAGTGTGAGCGAATCACACCTGCATCAGTGCAGTCTTCCCAGATTTCATGTTTTCCCTTCAGGATTCCCCAGATGTCTACAGGCACTCCGATGCTAAGGGCAAGTGATCCAGTTTTCCTAACACTCTAAAACGGTGATATTTCAAGTGTGATTTGTGACCAGCAGCATCAGCAGCACCTGAGAGCTTATTAGAAATGCAGATTCTCATGCCCGACTCCAGACATAGTGAATCAGAATCTGTACTTGAATCAGATCCCAGGTAACTGTGTGCATGTTAACATTGGACAAGTACGACCTGAAGCAGCTAGTGATTAAACATAGGACTTTTCACTTGGCTGCTAAGATGTGGCAAACTACATTTGGGGCTTCTACCTACCTGATGACTCAGACAAATTATTGAGTCAGATATTTTCTGTATCCCCAGCCCTTGAATACTGTCTAGAACAAGCATGTCAAACTCAAAGGCTAACACGGGCCAAATAAACAAGGTTTAAGTTTATGTGGGCCACAAAAAAAACAAAAGCTTCAATTTTCATAGAAACGTAGGTTTATTTTGATAGAGCCATGCTGAATACAAAGGGCTGAAATAAATGTATAATCGTTAACATAAAATAATAGAACATTTTAATAAAAATTAGTATTTTTTTCTTGAACATTAACTTACCAGACATTGAATAACTGCACAAATTAATAAGCATAACGTAAATAAACCTATTTTTCTTGTTCTCCAAAAGCGAAATATTTCCTGTTGCGCACACCAAATAAGTCAGTACAAGACTAATGACATGGCAGGCAATCAGCTGCTAAAATATTTGCTGCTAAAATATCGGCTGCTAAAATATATTATTAGTGGAGAGAAATGGTGCGCCTGCGTGTAAGGCATGTAAGGGAAATGAATGCAACAGGATTATAGTAATCAGTCATTAGCGAATATTGTAGTTCATTATTAATAATTATGTATAACAGGATATTGTAAAAATTAAGTTATGAAATTTTTTTGGAAACTTTTATTAAAACGTTTCTCACATACCGTTATATTGGCCACGCTGCAAAAATATTCGTTGTGGGCCACATGCGGCCTGCGGGCTGCAAGTTTGACATGCCTGGTCTAGAACATAGTAGGCACTCAGTAAATATTCCATGAATAAATATTGAACAATTCTTGTGCTCTTTTCTCTATTCAACGTGTTCAGGGTATGCTGGACTTCTGTTTCTGGACATCAATTACAAGTTATTAGAAGAATTTTTGTTTCCAGTGGAAGAACAGATATTGTTAAATGAGCAATTACTGAGTGCCAGGCCGATGCCATATCATGTGGATAAGTTCTCAGTCTTTTACAAAGTGTGGTTCAAGGCCAAGGGCATCAACATGACCAGGTGCTTGTTAAATGTAGATCTGGCCTACTCAGACTGCCATGAGACTTTGGAGATGAGACCCATTGGAGATGAGACCCAGAAGTCTGCATTTTTTAAAAATATATATTTTATTGATTTTTTACAGAGAGGAAGGGAGAGAGATAGAGAGTTAGAAACATCGATGAGAGAGAAACATCGATCAGCTGCCTCCTGCACACCTCCTACTGGGGATGTGCCTGCAATCAAGGTACATGCCCTTGACCGGAATCGAACCTGGGACCTTTCAGTCCGCAGGCCGACGCTGTATCCACTGAGCCAAACCGGTTAGGGCAGAAGTCTGCATTTTTAACAAACATCCCAGGCACACTAAAGTTTGGAAATTGTTGCATCCCTAGTTTACAGAGGAAACTAAGGAACAGAGAGATTAACTGACTTGTGCAAAATCACAGAGCAGGTGAATGGTGGAGATAGGACTCAAACCCAAGACTGCCCAAATCCAGAATCCACAATTTTAACCACATTGTCTACTATTATGCTGGAAAAATTGATGCCCTGGCTGACTGTGTATATTTAACCATGTATATCATTTTGTGTGTATCTCACGTTTTCCCAACGTTTGCTATATCATTCTTGTGGAGTCTTGGAAGGCAGTGAATGTGTTTTATTTTTCTCAGTGTCTGCAGCATCCATTACCATGCCTAAAACCTGGGAGATCCTCAACAAAAGTTGTTTGGATTGAATTTCTACAGATACATAATTATCCATCTCTATAAACAGATACTCAGAGGACATCTCATTTTCAGGTAGACTCTTGGAACAAGCTATAACAACTATAAACTTTCCTACCTTCTCTTGAACCCACTCCATCAAACTTTTGCTCATGTCATTCATTGATATAGCTATTGTCAAGATCACCAGTAACTTCAACCTGGATGAACCTAATGATCAATAATTGTCGGCCCTTATCTCACCTGACTCCTTGGCAGCTTTGGACATTGAACCTTTCCTTCCTCCTGAAACTCTCTTCATTTGGCTTCTAACCTCTCTGGATTCTCCTCCTCCTCTTCCTCCTCCTCCTCTTCCTCCTCCTTCTCCTTCCACGCCCCCCCCCCATTTTGTTATTGTGGTTAATAGACATAGCATAAATTGTATTACTGTAACTATTTTTAAGTGTGCAGTTAAGTGATATTAAATATATTCACATTATTGTGCAACCATGACTACCATTCATCTTCAGAACTCTTTCATCTTGCAAAACTGAAACTGGACTCATTAAACAATAATTCCCCATTTCCCCCCTCTCTCCAGCCCCTGGCAACCACATTCTACTTTCTTTTTTTTTTTTTTTTTTTAAATATATTCCATTGATTTTCTACAGAGAGGAAGGGAGAGAGATAGAGAGTTAGAAACATCGATGAGAGAGAAACATCGATCAGCTGCCTCCTGCACACCCCCCACTGGGGATGTGCCCACAACCCAGGTACATGCCCCTGACCGGAATCGAACCCGGGACCCTTCAGTCCGCAGGCCGACGCTCTATCCACTGAGCCAAACCGGTCTTGGCAATCTACTTTCTGTCTCTATGAATGTCACCACTCTAGATATCTCATACAAGGGGAATCACACAGTATTTATGTTTTTTGTGACTGGCTTGTTTCATTTAGCGTAAGAACCTCAAGGTTCATTAATGCTGTAGCACATTGCAGAATTTCCTTCCTTTTTAAAGATGAATAATATTCCATTGGAGGTATATACCACATTTTGCTCATCCATTCATCCATCAAATGGACACCAGGATTGCTTCCACATTTTAGCTATTGTGAATAATGCTGTGAGTATGAGTGTACAGATATCTCTTCAAGACTCTGCTTTCAATTTTGGGGGGAATGTATCCAGAAATGGAATTGCTGGAACATAGGTAATTCTATTTTTTAATTTTTTGAGGAATGGCTGTACTATTTTACATTCCCACCAATAATACACAAGGGTTCTAATTTCTCCACATTCTCATAAACTCTAGTTGTTTTCTGTGTTTTTGTTTTGCTTTATTTGTTTGTTATTATCTTAGCCACCCTGAGTATGAGGTGGTATCACACTGTAGTTTTGATTTGCATTTCCCTAGTGATTAGTAATGTTGAGTATCTTTTTGTGTGCTTATTGGCCGTTTGTATCTCTTCCTTGGAGAAATGTCTGGATACTTCTTTTTTAACATCTTGCTGATTCCTCCTAACCTTGCAGTGCCCAAGGGTACTATCCGTAGACCACTTCTTTTTCTTTTTTTTAAAATATATTTTTATTGATTTCAGAGAGGGAGAAAGAGAGAGAGAGATAGAAACATCACTGATGAGAATCATTGATTGGCTGCCTCCTCCCCCTACTGGGGATTGAGCCTGCAACCTGGGCATGTGCCCTTGACTGGAATCGAACCCAGGACCCTTCAGTCCGCAGGCTGACGCTCTATCCACTGAGCCAAACCAGCTAGGGCAACCACTTCTTTTTCTACACTCACCTCCTTAGTGATCTCAAACAGCCTTATATCTTTAAACACCTTCCACCTACTGACCACTATCAATGATATCTTCAGCCCAGACCTTGCCCTTGAGCTGAGGCCACCATTTCTAGCTGCCTACCGGATGGCTGCACTTAGATGTCTAATGGTATCTCGAGTTTAACATGTCCAACACTGAACTCCTTATCTTCCCCCAAAACCTACTTCTTCCACAGTTTCCCCCATCTCGGTTACTGACAGCTCCATCTTTCCATTGGCACAAGGCAAAACTCTTGTCCTCATCCTTGACTTCTGGTTTTCTCACACCCCATCAACAAATCCTGTCAGAGCCATCTTCAAAATATACAGAATTTGACCACTTCCACTGCTACCGCCATAGTCCAAGTTAACATCAGCTCTTACCTGATTAACTTCCGTGACCTCCTCACTGGTCTTCCTGCTTCAGCTTTTGCTCCTCCGTCTGTCTTCCATCCAGCAGCAGAGTAACCCTTACAATCCGGTAGCACATCATGCCACTCTTCTGCTCAAAACTGTTCACATTACTCCTAGAAAAGCCGGATGTCTAATAATGCCCTCTATAACTCTTCTTTGTACAGGTACATATTAAGTACATTCTTGCCTCGGGGCCTTTGCGCCTGCTGGTCTCTCAGTTGACACAGTGGCTCTCAACCTTTTCTTTTGTGCCATGGACTCCCTCTGAGTATGACATCTTCAAATCCATAAAATAAGTTATGTAAATAATAAAGAAAACTATATTGACATACAAATCTCAAAATATTTTAAAATGTGAAATATAGTATTTTATGTTTCTTATTAACTCATCAAATTATAAGAGCTAGCAGCATTTTGAAGTAGTGATGAGTATAGTGATATTTTAGATATTTTCAACAACTATAATGTGATATGAAAATATCTGATTTCTACTAGCAACAATGCCACAGGTGCTGCTGCTATCGCTGTGATTTGCTGTCTGCATTCATAATTGAAGAGCATGCTGCATTTTAAAATAAAGATATATGTATATTTTCCCTTCTAAGATCAAGACTCCCTGAATTTTATACACAGACCTCTGGAGGGGAGGGGTATGTGTGGACTCCAATTAAGAACCCTGCGCTTAGAATGCTCTTTCCCCATAAATCTCATAGCTCACTCCTTCACCTCCTTTTACTCAAAAGCCACCTTCTCAGTGAGTTCTTCCCTGAGGACTCTAAATTGCATCCCCACGTTCCCTTATCTTCCTTTCCCACTTAATTTTTCTCCACAGCACTACCTTCAAACATGACATATATTTTTTTACTTTTTTTTTATAGCAAGTTCTCTTTTTTTTTTCTTTTAAATATATTTTTATTGATTGCAGAGAGGAAGGGAGAGGGAGAGAGAGAGATGGAAACATCAACAATGAGAGAGAATCATTGATCGGCTGCCTCCTGCACGCCTCCTACTGGGGATCGTGCCAGCAACCAAGGCATGTGCCCTTGACTGGAATCAAACCCGGGACCCTTTGGTCCACAGGCCAATGCTGTATCCACTGAGCCAAGCCAGCTAGGGCTATTTTTTTTTACTTTCTAATCAAATTGTATAACCCTAACCAGTTTTGCTCAATGGATAGAGCTTCAGCCTGAGGACTGAAGGGTTCCAGGTTCAATTCCATTCAAGGGCACATGCCCAGGTTGTGGCTCAATTCCCAGGAGGGGGCATGCAGGAGGCAGCTGATCAATGATTCTCATCATTGATGTTTCTCTCTCTCTCTCAGTACCCCTTCCTCTCTGAAATCAATAAAAAATATATATATATATATTAAAAAATAAACAAATTGTGTATCTCCTTTTACTAGAAAGTTCCATGAGAGCAGGCATTTTTGTCTGCCATGGTAGTGCTGTGTCCCCAGCACCTAGAATGGTACCTGGCATACAGAAAGCACTCAATAAATATTTGTTGGGGGAAAAAGAGTGATTATATCTCTAAGAACTCTATGTTTCTTCTTATTTTTTTTCTGTAAAAAGTTAATGATTTGTGAGACTTTTAGTAAACATTAAAAAGTTATAATTAGCTTTGTGGCTATCATTCTGTTAACATTTCCAAGGTTAACCTTAAACAGCAGAGCGCTGTAGGAACCCAAGGATTCTGATGGAGCTTCCAGTCCTAAACAAGCAGTATCTTCCAAGGACGTTTTAGGGGACATGGGTCATACCCAGACTCAGGGAATCACTTCAGAATCAAGGTGCTGCACATAAGATTCTGTCTTACCTGCTGTACAGCAATCAGGCCCCCATCCTCAATCAAACCATTAATACTAATACTTTTTATTTCTGGCAGTGTGGCAAATGGAAAGCACATAGGCTTCGAGGTCAGCTGGACTAGGTGCCAATTCTGCTACCACTTGCTAGCCCGCATGATTGTTGGTAAGTTACTAAACCTTTCAGAATAGGTAAGATGGGTTTTTGTGAGGATGAAATGGGATGGCATATACAGTATACAGCACAGATAGGGCACTGTATAAATGGTCATTCCCTCCCTCTTCCATCTCTCTAGGTCATTTTTTAAAAATATTTTTTTATTGATTTCAGAGAGGAAAGGAGAGGGAGAGAACAACAGAAATATAAATGATGAGAGAGAATCAATGATTGGCTGCCGCCTGCACACCCCTAACTGGGGATTGGCCCATAACCCGGGCCTTGATCAGAATCAAACCCAGGACCCTTCAGTCCACAGGCCCACGCTCTACCCACTGAGCCAAACCACTAGGGCTCTCTAGGTCATTTTTTATTTTTTTAAATATATTTTATTGATTTTTTACAGAGAGGAAGGGAGAGGGATAGAGAGTTAGAAACATCAATGGGAGAGAAACATCGATCAGCTGCCTCTTGCACACTCCCTACTGGGGATGTGCCCTCAACCAAGGTACATGCCCTTGACCAGAATCGAACCTGGGACCTTTCAGTCCGCAGGCTGATGCTCTATCCACTGAGCCAAACCAGCTAGGGCTCTAGGTCATTTTTTAACTGCTTGCCAAGGTTTGTGGGATCCTGATGGCCAAGAGGATGTCCAGTCCTCTCCTGCATGTAAACCCTCTGCAACTAGACCTAACCAGAGCAGTCCCCTTGGACTGTGCCACTGTAAATCGGTGCCTTCACTCCCACCTCAGATGTGTGCCTGAGACTGACATCTGGACCTTGGTCACAAAGCCCACCATCTGTCACAGTTTCTTCTGGCTTTCCCTTTTGCCCACACTGGGAGATCTTGTATATGTCCTCATAGAGGGTAAGACACAAATCACTGTCCCCAGTTTTTTAGCATTAAGAGCTTTTAGAGGGCTCATTCACCCTTCCAAAAGGTAGGCACCAGGGAAAGTGCTAATGTGCACTGTGCACTCTGAGCCAGGCCCTGCTTTACACACATGGCATGTATATGTACATATATACATATATGTACATATATACACATATGTATATGTGTACACATGGCCTTAGGAACCCTGCCACCACTCCATTCCACAGAAGAGGAAAAAGAGAACCAGAGAGATGAATTCACTTGCCCACATCAAGCAGCTTCTGAACTGAAGGGTCAGGATTAGAACCCAAGTATTTAACCATTTTTTTTACATGCCCACAGCCTGTCACTGTCGCTGACTTGGGCTTTGGCAAATCCTACTAACTGACCACTGAGAGCTAAAGCTAAGTGGGAGGTGATACACAGACTGTCAATCTTGCTGGACCAGCCCTCCCAGACTTTGTGAATGAAGGAAGAGAAATATTGAACTGACTCCCTTGAGCTCCTGTTTCTTTCTTGTTGCAAAAGTGCTTATTTCAGCATCCATCATCTCCCTCTTTGTTGTGTAGACAATCAGTCCTGTCAGAAGATTTGTCCTGTTATGAGTTTATTATTAGATTTATTTCTCCTATAAGAAATGTGTGCACAACATTCCATTGGGTAATCTTTTTAATTGTGACATAAATGTCACCTTATGTAAATTGAATATTTATCTTCCCCTGGTAGGGGGCAGAGGGGGAAAAAAGAATAAACAACCTTCAGTCTTGGAGAGGGAAGGTGGTTCCTGGCCCAGTTCATTACTCATCCATGTGCCTTCAAAGCCAAAGGTGAGCTGAAAAAATTATTGGATCATCTTTGAGGGGCGCCCAAACGGTAGGGTGAAGAAAAAGTTGGCCATGATGCTTTGGGGATGTTGGGCCAGGCTCCCAGGTCTCTCTCCCCAAATCCCGCCCGAGACCTGACCACCTCCTCCCCAGCTGGGAGCATCGGGAGAAGGCTGCCGCTTGCCTCTCACTCCTCCCCATCCAGGAGGCCAGCCGGGCTCCTTCCTCGAGAGAAGGTGAGCGCGGCGGGCACTATGGGTTGAGTGGGTGTGGCCCGCGGCTCTGGGAACCGACCCAAGGCCCCGCCACCGCTCGCAAGCCGCCCCACAGTCCGCCTGCCTGGCGAGCACAAGCTCTTCTTCCAGAAACTGCGAGGATCCGAGCGCACTGTTTGTGCACCACAAGGTCAAGTCGGGAAGTGGAGCCGGAGGAGGAGGGGCGAGGAGGCGAAGGGTGGGGAGAGGGGCGCCCCGCTTCCTCGCCAAGTGCCAACCCTTGGAAGTTGCCCCTCTGTTTTTAACCCTTTATGGGGAATGGGAAGGACAAGCAAGGGGAAGGGGATACCCCGGGGCAAACTCCTCTAGGGCCAGGACCTGCAGCCACCCACCCACCCACCCATCACTACGTTCCCCACCCCCCGGAAATGCGGGGCAGAGCTGGGTGCCAGGAGGCACCCGGGCGGGAGGAGGGGGCGATGAGCCCGAGAGGGACCCTCTATGGACTGCCCCTCCTTTCTAGAGGTCGCCCACAATTTCAAGTTTTCCCCGCCCGGGATGGTAGTTTCCATCTGCTGGGGGGTGGGGGAGGGAGGGGCCGCACCCCCTCCCCCAGACCCGCGCGCGCCCTCCCCCTCCGCTCCTGCCAGCACTTTCTGCTCACTTCTGGCTGTAAAAACGCCACGCGATTTTATTCGATTCGCATTTTAAACCAGCGATCCAGGAGCAGGGCCTAGGGCGGGGGTCTTCCAGCGCTGGAGCCCCGGGAGGCGGGGTGCTCAATGCAAACCTCGTTCCCTCCGCGAGTGTCGCCTTCAGGCTATTTGCAAAGAAACGTCTTTTTGACGCAGGGAGAAATGGCAAATTTTAAGTACGTCATTAATATGGCGCCAAAAGATTTTTTTAAGTATAAGCTTGCCTTTTTTTTTTTTTTTTTAAAGGTTGCGGGGGGCACCGCCCGGGTCTGGGGCGAGAAGGGGGCGGGGTGTGAGCAGAAAGTGTGAGTGAGAGAGTGGAGGGGCGGGGTATGTGGGTGAGTGTGTGAAGTGTGAGCAGACCTGATGGGACTTGCTCGGGCGCAGCCGCCGCTCGGGCCCGGCCCTGGGGACAGGGCGGGCTGGGGGCGCCCCAGAGTCCGCGGGGAGTCCGGGCTCGAGGTGCAGGCAGGCTGGCAGCCCGGCAGGGCACCCTCCCTCCTGAGGCCTGCAACGCTACCTGGACCCGTTTCTTAAGCCAAACAACTGGGCGCAGGGGGGTGGGGGGTGGCGGGCTACGGAGGGGGGTTGTCAGGAGTGGAGCTCGGACTGAATAAGAAAAAAGTGGCTACTCCCCCTCCCTTGCTCCTCCCGCCCGCCCCCAACCACCCCACCCCCACCCCAACACATTTTTTTTTTTTTTTCTAAAGAGATCACAAGGAAGTCTTGGTTTAAAAAGAAACAGAAACATACACAGGGGGGTTGGTGAATGGTCCCGACCGCGGCCATCGCAGTTGGAAGCTATTTTTTGGTGGGGGTGAGTAGTGTCCATGGAGTTACTTTGCGCCCACTGCTAGAAGGCAAGGGCTCGGGTCCCTCGGGCTGAACCGCCCCTGGCAGAGGCGCGGGGCCGGGGACGCCGCGGGCCCCGTCGCCTCCCTCGCCGCGACCCCGGATGGATGCGCGCCCCCCGCCCGCCCGCGCCGGCCCCTGGAGCTCCGGATTTCGGGAGCATCCTTCCCGCGCCGGTCCCCGCCGCGGCGCGTAGCCGAGGGCAGCGCCCCTCGGAAGGGCACCACAGAGCAAGGTAAGATCCAGCCCCCAGCGATGGGCCCTGCGCATCTCCACAGCGTTATTTTGTGTTTTTGCAACAGATCTGCCAGCGCTCCTCGCTCTGTCTCTAGCTCGCTCGCTCCCTCTCTCTCCTGCTGGCTGCCTGTTCTAGGAAGCCAGCGCGCGGGGGGAGGGGGGATGCACAGCACAGGGAAGAGAGATTGCGCATGTTGGTCAGTCGTGTTTTAAAGAGTACATTGCGGGGAGGCTGAGAGGGGCGCATGCTACAACAACTTTTGGAAGGGTGAGTTTGGCGACCTTCTTTATTAATGACTGCGGCAAAGAGCCCCCGGGCAGGCTAGGGGGCGCGGGCGGGCGGGGGCGCGCAGGGGCTGCAACTTGCCCCGCGGCTCGAGCTGGGCGGAGGGGCTGCAGCGGGAGACCTGTGCCAAGGGGAGATCGTGCGGCCGGGGACGAGGGTTCGGAGGACCCAGAGTTAACTGCCCTCCTGTCGCCCCGAGTTTCATTTTGTTGGTACGCAGCACGTCCGGGCGACGAACCGGGTTGAGCCGGTGCACATGACCCCGCGCTGGGCTCACGTGCAGCCGGCCGGGTCCCAGACACCTTCCGGGGGCCACTGCCTTCCGCCCTGTCGCCCCTCTCGGGCTAGGTGCACGCGGGCGCTGCACGCGGGGGGCAGCGGTGCTCAGCTCCCGGGCGCTGAGGCTCTGCACAAATTAAACACAGTTATTTGGAGGGGTGGGGGACGCCCTTTCCAGGTGAGTGAGGAGGGTGCGCAGCCCCGGCACCGGGGGAGCGGGCTGGGTCGGGGGCAGCTCCCTCCTCCAGGGCTGCGCGGGAGTCCGGCGGGGGAGAAGCGCTGAGAGAGTGGAAATGTACCCGCGGCGGCCGGAGCCGCGGGTGCGCGCCCGCGGGGCGACGGCAGGGGGCGTGGCCCTTGTTTACCTTCTCCCAACTCAGCGGGTTCGCGTCCCGCTCTGGGGTAGGTTCTGCAGTCCCCGGCTCTCCGCCTCCGCCCCTGCGCCCTGGGTGGTACCGGGAAGACGTAGGCTAGTGGCAGCCCCAGCCTGGACTCTCATACCCGACCCCCAAATGAGTGACACTGCAGCCCCCGCCCCCACCAAGCACCGCTGCAGTCGCTCTCCCCGTTCCCCGGCCCGGCCCCGCCCCCCAGGCAGTGGCATCTTCCCGGCCTCACCTCCTTCCTCTCTTCCTCCCTTTCTCCCTCCCTTCTTCCCACCCACTCGCCTGCGCCTGCGGAGCGGCTCCCTCCCGCCTCTTCCCCGCCTGTGTGCAGACTTGTGGCTCCCTCCGGTCCCTTCCCGCCTCTCCCTGGGCCCTGAGACACCCTCTTCTCCAGGCCAAGGGATGAGACGGGGGTCAGCTTCGCGATTAGTCAGAAGATGGGGATGTCAGCAAGACAGACAGGATGGCTTCACTGTACCATCCAGAGGCCTAAGACCCCCTCTCCCGCCACACACACACACACACACACACACACTTCCCCACAACTGCTCACTCCACAAGGGGCGCGGGGCCCCTAACCGCTTCACCCAATCCCTACCCCCCGCCCCGGGCGTCCAGTCCACCTCCCGTCGCCACCCCCGGCCTGAACCGCCTCTTGCCCTTCCTTTGCCTGGGCCGGAGCCCCCCGCAGCCACCTCCGGCTCCTCCTCCCGGCTCCCGCGGTCGGAATCACGCCGGCGCGCCTCCAGCCTGCGGTCCCGCCGACTGCCTCCAGGGGCGGACTGGAGGCGCGTGCCATCCCTACCCCCACCCCCAACCTCCTAAGACTGCCACCCGCCAGGGCACTTGACTTTTTATATTTTCT